TTCTTTAGCAGATTTTGTTACAGAAAACAAGGGGATGCAAATAACGTTCTCATCTGGAAATCTTAAGGACTTGGGGGGCGCATGTGGGATAAAGCACATGCTTTCAAGGTAGGCACTGCTTGGGCCATTCAGAGCTTTGAATGGGAAGAGGCAGAGCCTTTAATTGGTCCTGGACATAAATAAATGTATGGGATAGAAGGGCTGATCACTGCACAGGAAGAGTGGAAAGTATGTGGGGAGCAGGCAGGAGGTGGGGAGACGAAGGCTGGTGTTAAGCAGGGTTGGCTCTACCGTTAGGCAGGGCAAGGAAGCAGATTCAGGAACACCGTTAAGGGGAAGAGGGGTCAATTCTTCCCAATATGAGAGGTACCATTTTGGTCTGCCATCTCAGTTGACAAAGAGCCTAAGGCCACCTCTGCTATTAAAGGGTTATGTATGGAAGAAAGAGGGATGGAAGTAGAGTCTGTGAATGTAGAGGATAAATGGAGGAAAAAGGGATGAATGAACGGCTAGAGGAAAAGATGGATCATCATGGAACCAGAGTTGGAAGTTCATGACAGCAGAGGGTGATGGATGCAGCCATTCTAGTGTGGTGGGATGTTCGGAGTCTTTAGTCAACCAATGAATTTGTATCTGTATATACAGATATATAAATAAAAATACGATTCTAGTGCAGAATATTGCATTTATACAGTGGACAAACTGGCTGCTTCTTGGATTTAGTGCTGAAGCTAATGGGCAAGGATTTGTCTTTCTTAAGAGCCTTGAAAAGGAGAAGTCTTCTAAGATGTTGTTTTTATTTGTGTTACTCTGATGGTACTTTTGCCTAGCCTGATCTTCAGTGAAACCTCTCTTGTTTGGTCAAACCAAGGTCCATCTAGTGTGGCATTCCAGACTGCTTCTTGCGGAAGACCACAAGAAGAGCAGAATGACAAAAAGCATCCCTTTTGCCCTCCTCACCCCCCTGCATGAAACCAGCAAGACTACTCTGGCTTCTGCATATAAAGTTTCCCCTTTTGGCTGTTGTGGCTGATAGCTTGTGACAGACCCTGTCCTCCAGAATTTTGCATAATCCTTTTTGAAGCCATCTAGGCTGTGGGCCATCCCCTTATCCTCGGGCTTTTCCTATTTTCTTCTATTGTTATATTTCACTTTTGGGTGTAGAATTCTCATTCCCGTGTGGCAGAATTTGAGTGTGTGTGTGCCTTCTAACACAGAATACAGGGATCCTTCCCCTTTGGCTTGCATTCCCTCCCCTATGCAAAAGTTTGGCATGACCAACTATAGTAAACTTGCCTATTTTTCTGAACAAGGGTTGCTTTGCTAGGTGAGGATGTCTCCAGGTGATGTCAAGGGAAATCTCTTTGTGTGGGATATGGCAAGGCGAAGTCCAGGGAAGTTTTTGGTGTCAATCCCAGCTCCTGCTGGAGGTGAGGATGAGCTGTGGCCAGCAAAATGAGCAGCAAGAGCAGAGTGCCTGGCGGCTTGGACCAGTAAGCAAGACCACTCAGGAAGCCTTTCCAGGGTTCAGCTGTTCTGGCCTAATGGCTGTTGAGGCTACTGGTTGTCCTTGTTACAGCTCTCTCCTTTGGCTAGTAGTGTCAGGTGGGCCACTACAGCACTGGGCATTGCTCAGGTCCTCAGTTCAGGCCAGGTGTTTGGTGAGAGAAGCTCCTTGCTTCAGTGGGCCAAATCTGGCCAGCCTGAGAACCCAACCTGGTCCCACAGAGCACCCCAGATTTCTGTAGTCCCTTCCCCACATCACTAGGTGCTGCCTGGCTACCCACGGATCACTGGATGGTTTTCTGGCTTTTGCGAATTTCTTCCCTCTGTTCTGAAAGGATGGCATTTCTTAAGGCTTCTGACTAGCAGGAAGAGCTTTAAGGTAATAAATACTGATATGTGAGCCCTGCCCCTTTTATTTTAGCCATGCCTATCACTGGAAGGCAGCCTCCAAGAGCTTCTCAGAAATTCAATTTGGATTTTGGGTCAAAGAGGTTGAACATTCTTGAGTCAAACCATTCAATAAAAAAAAAGGCAGGAACTGGTGGCACAATCACTCAGGACATTGTCCAGCTTGAATTCTGTTCAGAATTGAATTTAGACTTGTGCAGAAATAAATCCTGGTAGATTGTGGTCACAAGCAACACCAAGCAGAGCTGGAAGGAATTTTGGCAAAGCACAGTTCTCGAGCAAATGTTCATACGTTGCATTTATCTTTGGTTTATAAAAATTGCATTTATTTTCTGGAATGTTGCTGTTATTTTATGGCATTGCTTTTATCCTAGATCTTTGACCTCAAGTCCTCTGAGGGGTTTACAGCCTCATCTAAACAAGTAAACAATAAAACCATGGATCAACATGCAGTAAGCAAATTACATAAGAAAGAAAGAATGTACTAAAGAACAAGCTCACCCTCTTGCCATAAAATTTTAGTTCCTTTCACCTGCAAGTAAGTGATAGAGTTTGGGGAGTTTTGTATGGCTGCCAGGCTTCTTCCTGGGTAACTCAGCAGGGTCCTGATCTGAAGTGTTCACTAATGCTTGCTTCCACCCCTTGGAAGGAGAAGAGGACCTAGACTGGCCAATGGTTACTGTGTCTACGATGATTTTGTCCCTCTGCTCCTGGTGTCATGGGGATGGATGAAGGATGGGCGGAGTTGTGGGGTGTTCCTGCTGTGGCCTTTGGCACCACAAGATCCTGGAGTGGGAGAGGTATTGTGACTCCCAGTCTGTGCCACAGGCCGTAGTAAAGTCCTGAGCCTCCTCCTTGGAGGAGAACTTCTTGACCTTCTTGGATTCATTGCTCAGCCCCAGAGGTATCCCGATGCCCTTGCAGCCACTGCCAGTGGATGCTCCAAGTAGCGGGGGGGGGGGGGGTCATCCGTGGCATGAACTAAACAGCTGAAATGTTTGGAGGGGGAAGAGAGGAGACAGAGAAGTGAGATTTCCCTTTGACAGTGCAAAATAGACCACACCTGGCCGTTCCTACCTTTGTGTCCAGACCTGCTCCGACTACCACGGCTCTTCTTGTCAGTTGTTCTGAAACAGGAATAAACCCCCAGTTAGAAATCCAAGCCATCTGACCCCACAAAACTTCTCCCACCTTTGTTGCCAAAGGAGATGCATACACAAACAGGCCCTTTCATGAAGCCAGCCAAGGCTGTGGGTGCCACATCACAAGTGACAATGTTTGACTCTTTTGAGCTGCTGAGACTTTCTCTAGCTGTGTATGTCCCGTGTGAATGTTAACATGGGATAAGGTGAGGAATGAAGAGCAATTCTGGCTGGTTCTGTGTTTCTTCAAACCAGAACAGATTTGAGGCCAATACTACAGTACTGCATGTGGTGCTCACAGTCACTGGACCGATGCTCAGAACTGGGCAGCCCAGCGCTCAAGTTCTCCTGTCCTTTGCCTTCTAATGTTCTGGTCTCTTTCTTGTGTAGTTAATTAATTCGAGCATTTTTATCCTACTCCTCAGCCCAAAAGTCTTCCCATAGAATAAGATAATAAGCAAAGACATTTCCTGCTCACAAGCTTACAATCTAAAAAGACACAACTTGCATGGAAAAAGAGGTAGGGAAGAAAAAGGAAGGGAAATGTCTTATTTTGCCTTTCACTGCCACTTGTCCTGGAGGACATGGACAGCAGCAACATGTAATTGGGCAAGACGACCTGGACAAACCTGGAAGTTGTCCAACAGGATTCAGGCAACAAGAGCAGGCAGCTTACTGAATTAGCAAATTTTAGGCTAATTAACCCATGCTTTGTGTGGATCCATACTGCACATCAGCCACTTCTGCTTTCTGTAAATAACCCATGATTGACTGTTTTATAGGGGCCTAGCATGACAGCTGAACCAGTTTGCAGTCCTTCGACACAAAAATCCACCCCTGGTTGTTGCAAGCTGTCTTGAATCCAGCAGAATAATTTAGGGGGAAGGAGGGAGTTTTTGTTGCTGCTGTTAAACAACTGGGAGTCAGAAATCCTTGCCGATCTATTGCAAATCACCCAAAGTTATGCCAGAAAGATCCAGGTCTGCCTTCTGCTCACACCTGAAGTGGAGTAGCCAGGACCTGCCGGGGAGCTGTCTGGCAAGAGCTAGATATACAGGGCCTGTTCAGAGAACTACTCCATCGCAGGGGTTGCACCAGCAAGTAACAGAGGCTGGCCTGCTTCTGTTCTTTGGGGAAGGGCTGGCTGGGTTCAGAGTCCAGCTACAATGGGTCCTGAAACCCAACCAGTGCAGCCAATGACTGTTCTGGGACATGGGGAGCAATCGCATGGTGTGAAGTCACAACCGCAACAGGAAGAGAATGCCACATGGGGTTTCCAGGTCTGTCTGAAGCTCCAAGTTTAGAGTAGCAGATGGTAACATTTCTCTTTGCATGTAGAATGCCAGAGATCCTGGGAAGATCTCCTGGGGGAATCTCCATAGGAGGCATCCATGCCAGGCATTGCTTTTATAGAAAGCCTTCTTGTTGCAATTCATGTGACCTCAATCAAAACCTGCCAGTGTCTGCAGTGATGGGATTAGAGCCCAAAGTAGATGAAACAGGAGTTAAAGAAAAGACTTTTAACCTTTGTTGAGTTTGTAGTAGCACAACACAAAAGAAGGATTTGCACTGGGCATTCTCTGTGCCCACATTGTGCAGGTTCCTTCAATCAACTTTGTAGTTGAAGGACAAAGCAGAATGGAATAGACTAATGACCCCAAGTGGGGAGGCAGAGATCCAGACTTCATGTCTGGAGATCCACGTTTGGTCCTGGGACTGGATGTTGTCCTGTGCTGTTTCAAGAGAATGAATTTGAGCACTACGAAATCATGACAGCTGCAAGGGAGACCCTGAAAGCAATACGCCCATTGGACCATTGCAGCAGCTCCCCACAAGCTTCTCCAGCCTTTTCTTGGAGACCTCTAGGGCCGTAGACTGGACAACTTCTCCAGGAATGCTAGTCCCGCTGCTAGTACCTCCTAGTGTGGGGGCTGCCCTTCTCACCAGCAGACCTCCTCTGGCTGGGGGTCTTCTCTATCCTGCTCTCCTTTAACTTTTCTTCTGGTTTCTGGACCTCCATGGGTGGAGGAGGGTCAGCCCCATCACCGTGCTTTGCACTGGGCGGCAGTGCTATGACTTGCAGGCTGGATGAACTCCCTGAAGGTTTGGCTGGATTACTGCTCTTCTTGGTTTCATCCTGATGATCATCAGCTGTTTTGCTGGCATCCTGAATTTTCCGGATGCTCTTCTGTGCAGCCGTGCATTGAGGAGATGCACTCTATGGTGACAGATGTTGGGATAGTCAGCATAGGGGGCACTAAAGAACCCCGATTCTCCTCCACATGTGTGTGCATATGCACAACACACAAAATTTGCTGGTCTGTAGATGGGCAACTGGAAGTCTGGAGCTCAGCCTTCTAGCACAGCCTCTGTTCCTAAGCTTGAAGACTGATTAACCCACTCTACTTTACTCCCACTTTGTTGGGTAACTGGCATCCCTTTAGCTCACATTCTGTACTGTATTTTACACATAAGTAGCCCTACAGACTCCCTACTGCTTCTATCATCTTATGATCATATATTTAGGGTCACAGGTTCCCCAAAGCTGCCCTCCAAGCAGAAAATTAGCTCTGCAGGGAGGAAATGGCGCGAGAACTTTTCCCCTGATGCTGTAATGTTGTTTTCTACTTGCAGGTAAGAGTGTGCATGTGTGTGTGTGTTGTAACACTTAAATTCAGGAGAGCGTACAATAGCTATATCCCCTACCTGTAGTCAGAAATGGAATTCCCCCACTTGGATCTACAAATAAAAAGGAGAGGCTCTTACCCACTCCTTGGCGCACTAGTTTTCTACTTCCAGGGTAGTGTCTCCTCCCTTCACCGGCAGAGTCTATTCTCCTACAGGCACAGGCCATGCCTCAGTGATATGCATTCATTGAAGTGAGGGCTCCATTCCCATTCTTGCATGGTAGAAGCCAAATATATGACCTCTACAAGGCACTCAAGTCACCCTCTCTCCTGTTCTTCTCCCCGCTAATTCCCAGGGCTCAGGGATCGCTATCCTTAATACGGGGCTCACTTTGCCCTTCAGTGGCGGACTTGCTTTCCCTCTCGGTGGTGGCGCCGGAGTCACCCCAGAACCCTTCAGCTTTTTGGCCTTCTCCTTCTGCTCCTCCAGGACTCCATCGGAGGGCGGCCGCAGCAACTGCACGATCCTGACCCAGGCGTCGAAGAGCTCTTCTCTCCGGTCTGATTCAGAGCACAGCTGGAGGTAGAAGGTGCGGCCGCTGGCCAGTTTGAACCTCAGCTGCTGTCTCTCTGCGTTGTGGACTGTGATCTTGACAAAGCGCAAAGGGAATAGCCTGCAGGGGTGTGGGGTGAGATGGGCAACATTTACGGCATGAACTATTCTACACTGAGCAGGGGATTTCAAGGGGTAATCTGCAAGAAAGCATTTCTTGTTCTGTTAGCTAATCTCTTCATCTACATCAAGAGTAGGCAACTACTGGGAGTCTGGCTGGTCACCATTCCTGCCACCATGGTGGCGGCAAAACATGTGATCACTTTGCAAGGAAACAAGGAAGGTTTCCAGGAGTGTGATTCTGCCTACAGGCAAGAAGCATGTTCCCTGTGTGCCTGGCCTCTTCCTAAAACTGCTCTTTTTTGTTGCTGCTGTGGTGACAACTGCAGCGGCAGAGGCCAGACAGTGACAAAAATAGCTGCGGGGCCTCGCGTGCAGCCTCCATATTGCCTATGCCAACTGAGTGGAGAGGCCACTGTCTTGTGGGGCTCGTGGTCCAGCAGCTTGTGAGGCTCATTTTAAGGTTGTGTGTGTGTGCAATTTCACAGTAGGTGCTATTTGACGCAATGTGCACCTGGGTTGCACATACCAGCTTTATGCCATTTGTGTCTTGTTCTAGTATTGTATTGCTCCTAAAAGGAGTCTGGATTGCAGCCTTGGACTTAACATCCTCACGAAGTGGCAGGATCAACAAACCTCTAGGATTTGGGAAATGCATAGAGCAGAAGGCTTTCCTTTGCCACCAGCAAGTTAGGGCAAGGTACCTTATCTGTTTACAGGAACAACAATCCTTAAAGCATGTTGCTACTGAATATCTTGTGCGGGGCACTGCCCCCCATCCATCCATTAAACCACAGATTGGTAGGTAGTGCGAATGCTCTATTACCACTCAAACGCAATGGTGATATTTGAGTAAATGAAAATGACTCTATAGATTCCAGGGCTGAGCCATGCAGACCCCTTCTGTGAGGTGTTACAGTGGACATGGAATATTGTCGTGTGACATGGTCTGGATAGCATTGTAGAAAGACTCACCTGGTTAGTTCAAATCTCACGCGGGGATGATGGCGGAGCCGGGATTTGGGCTTTGTAGCCTGCTCTTCAGGAGAGACTGTGGGCCGTGCCAGGAGCAGCACGTTAGGGATCAAGAGGAGGGGGTTCGTAGAGGTGATGCCGACTGTCACAATTTGCTCCTGGTTGTGGATTTCAATAGGACCCCCTTGCTTGCTGATCTGAGGTGCAAGTTAGAGTTAATGCACAGTTGATCACCTTCCCAAAATGGAAAATGTCTGATTTGGTGGTTCTTCTTAAGCCTTTATGCAATCCTGCCTGTCAGGTATGCAATATTATTATCCAATGCCCTCTCAAGCCAGAAGAGAGAGAGAGAGAGAGTGTGTGTGTGTGTAACATAAAAGCAGCACTCCAGGCAAAGCAAGCTTATTCCAATACTTAGCCAAAAGCCACCAAGGGAATAAAACTAGGTGAGGGTCATGTAAGTCTTCTTAGCTGGCAGAGCCAGAAGAAAGCAGAGGTGGGAAAAGGTGGCATAGGAGGGAGTGAGTTCCTACACCTTACACAGAGAAGGGAGAAGCAGGTTCTCAAGGAATGCCGATTTTTATTTTTGCTCAGTTGGCACTTCTGGGAGAACATGTTTCAGCCCAATATATTTGTGCAAAAATGTGATGTATAAATTTGACTATGGGTGTGTAGCCATCACTCACTTAAATCCCAGTGGTTTCAGTGGTTTGTTTCTATGCACGACCGAAAGATGTTCGAACCCTAAATTTGCCAAAAAGATTAGTGCAAAAGTGGGCTGTATGGGGGTATCCTATCTGGTGCTTAGTAAGCTACAATAAAATACTGGTGGACAGCATTTGGCACGATGGGTCACAAACTGAAGGTCTGGGCTAATCCCAAGCAACCATTCCCCAGTTATCTGGAATGAGGGAGAACTGATAGGAATCTACCCTTAAAGGCAGCCTATCAGTAATTTTAAATAAATACGAGTCAAGAAGCACAACTTTCAAGTAGATTTAAGCCTCACAAGCCTCTTGTTTTTAAGAACTCAAACCACTTCCGCACCTACATTAGCCTTTCCCTCTCCTTTTATGGCCTTTTGGGTATCCCCCCGTCCCCAGTCCCCCCACCCCACAAAGTTTCCCTGGGGCTTACCTGGACAAAATCACTTTCAAACATGGGAGAAAACTTGAACAACCCATATTCCCCCTGGCGTAACTGGCGCTGGAGGGGGCCCATCTTCCTGGTGAAAAAGCCCTTTTTACGAGTTACTGCTGTGCCTTGCATCTTAGAACTGTTGCTAGATCTGGGTGGAGCAGGAAGATGGAATTGCAGATAAATTCAGAAACTTGGCCAGCTTTTCTAAAAATCTGGTGTTCAAATCCACGTTTTCCCATGTAAAACCCGATCTTTGTAGAAGCAATGAAAACTATGCGGCTGACCAAATGAACAGAGGGTGCAAAGTTTTGTGATAAGGATGTTTACAACTAGGTTGTTGTTTTTGGAAGAGCCAGAAACACGCTGTTTTTTGCTTCAGGGAAACACACAGACACTTTGAACACTGCAAGTGCTGCAGGGTCATTTTCGTGTCTGAGGGAGAACAGTAAAGTTCACCCTCACAGACACGCCCTGTCCTGATCAGGGTGCATCATTCCCAATGCAGGCCAAGTAAGTTTAGCACCTGGGGCAAAAAAACCTATTGGTTTATTTATTACACATGCATCCTGCTCCCATAGCTGTGAGGTTCTCTGGGCGGCTTACAGCACATATGGTAAGCAACGATTAAAACAATTCCATATGAAACAGTAGCAAGGAAATCAATACAATAATACAATGAAAGCAATAAAATAAAATATTTACATTAATAAGAAAATCATTTAAAACAACCAATTTAAAGCAAACATAATAAAAACAATTATCTGGTGACTGATTATCATGACAGTAGCAGCATAAAACAATATAATAAACCGTTATAAAACCAACCAGTCTACTCACCGTAATGCTTGCAAAAACGAAAGGTTTTCAGTTGGCATCTAAGTAACAGGAGAGAAGACACCTGGCAAATCTGTAACAGGAGCATGTTCCATAAGGGGGTTATGTGGCTATTGTGGAAAAGGCTCTCCTCCTTGCCATCGCCCCCGTTACTTCATTGTGGGGAGGAATACAGAGAAGGGCCTCAGATGACAATCTCAGTGACAGAGAGAGAGGGGTGTTCCTTCAGATATCCTGGCCCCAGGCTTTGAATCGGGCCCAGGCGGCAACTGGCAGCGAACTAGTGCACTGCCCTGTTCTGAGTTAATTGCGGTGTCCAGACCATTTTCAAAGGCAGCCCCAAGCACAGTGCATTACAGCAATCCAGGCGTGAGGTTACCAGCGCACGGACAACCGTAGCAAGACTGTTATCCAAGCAGCGATGCAGCTCAGAATCCAGCTGAAGCTGGTAAAAAGTGCTCCTGGCTGCTGAGTCCACCTGGAAACAAGTGACAACTCAGGACCCAGGAGCGCTCCAAGGCTGCAAACCTTGTCCTTTGGGGGGGGGGGAGTGCAACCTCATCCAGGACAAGTTGGAAATTCTCCAGTTGGACAGAGAGACTTCCAATCAAAAGTACCTCTGTCTTGTCTAGATTGAGCTTCAGTTTATTGCCCCCCATCCAGCCCTTTACCAAGCTCAGGTTAAGAGCAGTCACTGCCTCGCCTGGATTGGATGAAAACAAGAGGTAGAGCTGAGTGTCCTCAGCATACTGATTACACTTCAGCCCAGAGCTCTGGATGACCTCTCCCAGTGGTTTCATGCCGATGTTGAAAAGCATGGGGGACAAAATGGAGCCCTGAAGAACTCCATGGTGCAAGGGCCATGGCACAGAGCAGTAGTCCTCCAGCACCACCTTCTGGAGATGGTTGGCCAGATAAGACAGAACTACTGCAAAGCAGTGCCCCCGACTCCCAATCCAGCCAGCCTCTCCAGGAGGATGCCATGGTCAATGCCACTGAGAGGTCCAGGAAGGTAACAGGGTCAGGTTCCCCTTGTCTCTCTCCTGGCAAAGGCCATTCTGCAGGGTGACCAAGGAAGTTTCCATTCCAAAACCAGACCTAAAGTGCAATTGAAATGGACCTAGATAATCCGTTTCCACCAGGAGAGCCTGGAGCTGCCTAGCCACAACCAGCTCAATGACCTTGCCCAAATAGGGGACATTAGCTTTAGGACTAAAGTTATTTACATTGGCTGGATCTAGGCTGAGCTTTTTCAGGAGTGGTGCAGTTACAGCAGTTTTAAGCAGCACCACTTCCTCTCTTAAAAGGGATTAGCGATCTCCTGGACTCAAGCACAAGTCCTCTCTTTAGATTTTTCAATTAACCAAGATGGGCAAGGATCAAGCAAGCAGGTTGCAGGTCAGGCAGAGACAAGCACCCTGACCACATCATCGGGCCACAAAAGCTGAAATTCATCCAGCAAAATGGGACCAGACAATTTGGACACCTCTGCTGATGGAACTGGGATAACTGTGGTGTCCAAGTTGCTACAGATCTGAGTGATTTCAACATCCCGTTTCTGGGCAAGGTGTTGGAGCGAGTGGTGGCGGGACAACTCCAAGCACTCTTGGATGAAACTGATTATCTGGATCCTTTTCAGTCCGGCTTCAGACCCGGGTACAGTACTGAATCTGCCTTGGTCGCCCTGTACGACGACCTGTGCAGGGAGAAGGACAGGGGGAGTGCATCCCTGTTGGTTCTTCTGGACCTCTCGGCGGCTTTCGATACCATCGACCATGGTATCCTTCTGGATAGACTTGCGGGATTGGGGGTTGGAGGCACTGCTTTGCAGTGGTTCCGCTTCTATCTCGACGGTCGATTCCAGAAGGTAGTGCTGGGGGACCATGTCTCTACGTCATGGCAGCTATGCCATGGGGTACCACAGGGCTCCATTCTATCCCCTCTGCTATTTAACATCTATATGAAACCGCTGGGAGAGGTCATCAGGAGGTGTGGGCTGCGGAATCATCAATACGCTGATGATACCCAGCTTTACCTCTCATTCTCCACTAATCCAGGTGAGGCAGTGGCTGTGCTGAACCGGTGCTTGGCCGAGGTAAGGGAATGGATGAGGGCCAATAAACTGAAACTCAACCCAGACAAGATGGAGGTCCTGTTGGTTGGCGGATCAGGTTTCGGAGGGGGTGGATTTGACCTGGTCCTGAATGGTGCAACACTCCCTCTTAGGGATAAGGTCCGCAGCTTAGGAGTACTCCTCGACCCGGAGCTTTCTTTGGAAGCTCAGGTGACAGCGGTAGCGAGGAACGCCTTCCTTCAGCTTCGGCTGATTAATCAGCTGCGCCCCTACCTGGAGTACGACTGCCTGGCGACGGTGACACACGCGCTGGTGACTTCCCGCCTAGACTTCTGTAACGCGCTTTACGTGGGGCTTCCCCTGAAGACAGTCCGAACACTTCAATTGGTGCAAAATAGAGCTGCCAGGTTGCTGACGGGGACGGGGCGTTATGCTCACATGACTCCAGTCCTCCATCAGCTTCACTGGCTTCCCATTGAAGCCCGGGCCCAATTCAAGGTGTTGATTATGACCTACAAAGCCCTAAACGGCTTGGGTCCTGGCTACCTGAACGAGCGCTTACGTCCGTATATGCCCGACCGCCCTTTGAGATCTGCGGGAGAGTTCCTTCTCCGGGAACCCTCCATGAAAGAAATTAGGAGAGTAAGTACTCGGAGGAGGGCTTTCTCTGCGGTGGCGCCCAACCTATGGAATTCACTCCCCAAAGAGGTCCGCCTGGCACCGTCGTTACTGGTTTTTCGGCGCCAGGTAAAGACCTTTTTATTTAAACATCATTTCAATTGTTAAAACATATGATCTGGCCTGGGCAACTTCTTCTTCCTTCTCTTTCTCCTCCTATATTTTTATTTTATACTGATAATTTTAATTTTGTATTTGTAAATCAATGTATTTTTTGTATTGTTATATTTAATGGTAATTTATTATGTACTATTGTATTTCAATGTATTTTATCATGTTGTAAGCCGCCCCGAGGTTTCGGCAAGGGGCGGCATAGAAATGTTATAATAATAATAA